TGTTCTCACTATACCCAGTCACCATCAACTTACACACTTCACGGTTTTAGAGGTGAGTAATCTTTTTTTTTTTTTTTTGCACAGTGAGGCCAAGCAAATTTTCAGTGTTGATTCAATTAAGTACGTAGTGCAGTGCCATTGTTTAAAATTATTAGGAGAAAGTGCCAAGTGCTAGTTAACAATGGAGGCTCAAGTTGAGTTGTTGATGGCTAATCCTGACTTTGAGGGAATTAAAAGCCTAACAAAGTCTGCCTTAATAAGTATGGCAACTAAGTAGGAGTCAACTTCCCAAAATAGAATGAATAAAGCACAGATTGTGAGAGTGATAGTGACCCATCTAGTAAAAGATCGTGAACTAGGGGAAGAATTTCTGAATGAGGTAAGTGAAGAGACAAGTGAGCAGATTGCTTTAAAGCATCTTGAGGTAGAAACTCAGTTAGAATTTGCTTTGTTTGAAGCTCAACAGAAAGAACTTGAGGCTAAAGAAAGACAGCAACAGAGAGAACTTGAAGCTAAAGAGAGACAACAACGATTAGACTTTTTTTTTTTTTTTTTTTTTTTGATAAAAGAAATATACAAAGTATAGCACAATATACACATGACGTGAACCTAAGAACAGAACATACCAACAAAAACATAATCATAAACAGGCATAGAAGAGAACATTGCATAATAAGACCCCAGAAACTCCAAGGACACAAGTCCGAATACAAATAAACATAGAAACGGACACACAACAAACGGACGCATACGGACATGGAAAGACACAACTAACATATAAAGAATAAACCAGACACACATATAAATACACAATGCACACAAGTACAGAAATAACACAAAGCATAAGCACATCGCACACAAATCATATAAGTAACATAAAAACAAACCATGGCCAAGGCCCAGGCACTACTATATGACAACCCCAAGAAAGAATCCGGGGCGAACAATGAAACACAGAGATACATGTACCCTAAGCAAACACACTTCCAGTAAGAACAGCAATCAAACCAACAAAATGAGTAACAAAACAGCCGCATGCAACTCACTCAAGGTACAAGCAACGGCCCACGCAGGAGCCAACATAGAAGCAAACCCACACACCAAACCGAACACACAACCACAGGAGCAACCACACACACACCCAGCACAACTCCCCCGAGGAGGCCCACCGGAGGGCCGGGGATCTAGGATGAAAACAGAAGACCACTCACCCAAAAGCAACCCCACGCACATACCCACCTGTGAACCAACCACGGAACTCGCTCGGAAACGCACGCTGCACCCACCACCACGTGAACCGCAAACGACCCCTCAAAAACCCCAAAAGCCTAGCAACCCCATAACCCTCCCTCCGACCCACCCACACACAATACACAACGTCAGCAACAAGAAGACAAAGCGTATTACGAACACGGCGCGACCTCCGCGGAAAGGACAAAAACAAAAATCTCAAAAGGTCACCCCGACACCCAGGTCCACAAACTCCAACCAACACGTCCCGAAACCAATCAAGCAAACCCCGCAACCGCCCGCAAAAATAAAAGACATGCAACTGCGTCTCAGGGAGACCACAGTGCACACACGCATCAGAGGCACGCAAACCCAGCATGCACAACCGTGCATTAGTAGCCAACGACAAATGCAAGAGCCGAAACAACAATTCCCGCTGTTGCGGAGCCAGACACCGAGCCCCCAGCGCCGCCCACACATCCCCCCAATCCCAACATGGGAACAAACCCTCCACCCGCGGTGGAACACGACGAAACAAAACCCGATACACCGCCTTGACCGACAAGGACAGGAACCCCGGACAACGGCATACCTCCCGAAGAATCGCCACCGCCCAAGAGTAAACCGGGGGGGTACAGACCGCCGCCTCCCGACAAACACCAAAATCCACCAAATAGCTAAACCTAACAGAGCAATAATAAACAGACAAACCATTGAGCCCCCCACCCAACTCAAACCCCTGACACAACGAGACCCAAAAGAGCGCCCGAGTCCTCGTGAACACATCAGGAATGCCCACCCCACCCTCCCGCACAGCCAACACCAACGTCGACCGGCGAATTGGGTGGTAACGACCACACCACACATAACGATAAACCTGGCGTTCCAACCCGAAAGCCAGCTTTCAAAAAGCCATCCAGGGGGAAAACCCGAGCCACGAACCAGACCCGGGACAAAACTTTGCAATTCACAAGCAACGCCCGCTGATAAAGAGTCAACGGGCGCACAGCCAGCAACCCAATCGCAACACCGACACTCCGGGAAACCATATCCCAATTGCAAGCCAAGGACCTCTCATAGGAAGCGAACCAGGTAAGCTCCAAAACCCGCATAGAAGTGACAACCGGAAACCATGACCCCACCCACAGAAGGCGAGAGGACCACCCACCAAGACCAATAAGACCGGATTTCGCACGATTTACCTGCGCCCCAGTGGCCAACTCAAACCTCTCAACCACAACCTGGACCGCCCCAACCGACCCCTCCGAGGCCAGGAACAGGACGGTATCATCTGCATAACCGCAGATAGGCAACCGAAGACCCGACGGCAAACGGGGGGGGGGGGGGGGGGGGACGATCAACGGGCATCCCTTGATCGCCCGAAAAAACGGCTCCTGAAAGACGATATACAGGAGCATCGAAAGCGGACAACCCTGCCGCACCGAGCGACGCACAGGGAAAGAATCACTCAAAAACCCATTTACACAGACACGACTACAACATTGAGCGTACAACATACGCACCCAACGAACAAACAAGGGCGGAAATCCCAGCCTCCCCAACACACGAAACACAAAATCGAGCGACACACGGTCGAAAGCCTTCGACCAATCAGAAACTTCAGAAACTTAACTTCAGAAATAAAGGAACCTAGCCAGAGAAACTTGTATTGGAAAAATGTACCGAATAGAAAATTAATATGGAAACATGAGACTGATCTCAGATCAATCATAGAAACACTTGGAAAGATAATTTGTGGTAAAGACCTTGAGAAAGCAGTTACATTTATTGACAGTTCTATTCATGAATATAATAATAATATTGTTGATAGTATGAAATATGAGCTCCTAAAATTAAGAAAAATTAATGAGATAGTACCTTGGAGAGATAAATTTACATACTCCAGAGGATCATATGTGAAATTTCTGATATATATAGACAGTGATGTAGAACATAATCACAAGACTGAACTTCTTAATTTTCATGAAAGAATATATTGGAAGTGTTCTCATTTTTTCAGAAATATGTCCCTATTACTTTTATATGTTTGTAATTCAATAAATCTCAAGTGTCACACATTTTTACTTTCAGAACAAAATGCCATTGATCTTCGTTCAATTGCATTTGTTTTTCTTGGATATGGAAGTGTGTTACGTATTCCTATTTGAGGAATACTTACATTAATGTACTCAATATAATATTTATTATAATTGTCTCTTGCATGAAGGCATGTGTATATATTTTTACACTTGTCCAATATTTGGCAACACAGTTGAGGGAGCGGGGGCTTTCTACGTCACAGGTACGGGACGTGTGAGATCCTGGTAAACTTCCTGATAGAATACAGGAAAGCTTGTATTTGTGTAGTTGCCAGTTTTTCCTCTTTATTATTCTATATTAAATAATTTTGTTTTATATAAATATGTTACCTCTGTTGATACATGTCAACCTGACCATGCAAATTTAAGTTATTCTTATATTTTTATTAGCATGAATTCGTTGCTCAGTTAAGTAAATTAAAATTAAATAAATTTACCATTCTTCATGTTGTGGAGGGGCGAGTGCTGGGGACTCCGACCCCAGTGCCTTTTTGTTTGCCCTGTGTTAGTTGTGTGCTTTGTGCTTTTCTTGTGCCTTTTATGTTATTTATGGTATGTGTGCTTGTTTGCTCCTCTGTTTCTGGAGCTTGCCTCATATGTATTTTGTGTTACTCTGTGTGGGGTTATGCTTTATTCTCCTCCCCTTTTGATTATCGGGGTGTTTTGTATTACTGTCCCTGTGTTATGTGTGTGTGTGTGTTTTTTTGTCATTACTTAATGTTCTTTGTCTTTTTCATGTGCTATGTGTTTGCTCTATGCTGATTGTGTATTGTTTATGTATTGTTCTATTCTTTCTTTGATTTGTGTTTGTATTATGATTTTGTGTTCTGATTTGTATTCTGATTTTTTATATAAATAAAAAAAAAAGACTTACGGGCTATTCGTGCCCGTGCCACCTTTTGGGTGGCTTAATCTTCATCAATCAATCAATCAATCTGTTTTCACCTCCATTCTACTTTGCTCTGATAAAGGCGATGTAGCCGAAAACGCTTTAAGCATTCCCTATTTTTCACATGTGGTTTTTCCGCATATTTAGATCAGTGTTTTTTTTTATCTTTGTTGCGTATACTTTTACTGCTATTTTTTTCATTATTATTATTATTATTATTATTACACAGAGATATTACATTAACGAGATATATCAAAGAACAAATCCACAGGAGCCTTGATGAGGGTTCGAACCTATATACTGAGTGTTCCCAGATGCGCTCTACTCAACTGTACCACGACATGGTAAAATAATTGCTACTTGAAAGAGTGCTACTGCAGCCCCAAGCCATGTATACCATGTCGCACCCATGTATACCATACAAGCAACTGTACCATGCTGTCGTAGAGTTGACTAGAGAGCATCTGGGAACTCTCAGCGCATAGGTTCGAACCCTCTTCAAGGCTCCTGTGGATTTGCTCTATTATTATTATTATTATTATTATTATTACTATTATTATTATTATTATTTAGGATAAAAGCACACTTGTGTATATGTTAGGTTTATGTAAGGAATTTACATCAAGTCTTTTGCACTCTCCTGAGTGCCTTGTCAAGGTCTGAGTGTGTGATCAGGACGAGCCTTACATCTCAACGTCTAATCAAAAGTCTAATCATAATCAGAATAGACGTTGAGATGTAAGTCTCGCCTTAATCAGACACTCAGACCTTGACAAAGCACTCAAGAGAGTGCGAAAGACTTGGTTTAAATTCCTTACATAAATTTCACATATACACAAGTGTGGGTTTTTTCCTATGTTATTATGTCTGTGAGAAGACATTACCATTACTAATTTTTATTATTATTACTATGTGTTTGGGATCAAGGTCCCGGGCAACTTGGGAAGTTGCCCGGGTCCTTGACTTGTTGTTCTGTCCTTTCTGAAAAGTGGGTGGTATCCTGGAAGATGGAATTCTCCTCATTAATTAAGGCTTCTCGTCCCCGTTCTGCTGAGTTCAGTGACATCGAGACTTTTAACCTTAGTGCACGCACTTAGTTCATCAAGTCATGGCTGCTGAAGTCGTTCCCAGGGCCATCTTCTTCAGCTCCCGCCTGAGTACTTTACCAGTGGCAGTCTTGGGAATCTCCCTCACAAACACAACTCCTCCCACCAGCCTCTTATACGGGGCCACTTTCGAATCAACGAACCTTAAAAGAAAATAAGAACATTATAAATTGCATTAATAATTACGTATATTGAACAATGGTAAAATTCTTTAAAAGAAAAATTCAAGGTTTTATTGTTATTATTAATAAGAGATGGACTAGGTGCAGCGTATGGAGCTGCTTATATCACACACATATTTTTTATGCAATGCAGATGTAGTACAGCAGAAAACAACAGACTAATCAGCCTAACCTCGCACACCTGCAAGCTCACGGAGAGTATCCTATAACTGCTGTATTAAAATATAAAAGCTCCAAATTATCAGATGTTATATTGTAAACAATTAAGGCTTCCCACTTATCCCAGATGTAATCCACAAACCTATTAGCCACTAATGGCATTGGTAATTATGGTAATACATGTTCCACAACGTTTCCGCGAACCGCTTAGGACAATAAAAAGTAACCAGCAAGTTACCTATCACGCCAAACAATGATCAACCTGCCAAATAAGGAAGCAAACTGTTTTAGCCCCACCAAAAACTGTCTCATAAACCGAAGCAAGAGTGAAACTTCATGGCACAGTCTCTGAATACAAAAGACATGGAAATGGTACACCGCAAGGAGGCATTCCCGGCCCCATACTCTTCAACTGTTTAATGGAAATAATAATAAGGTTGAAACTCCCACAACACTGCAGGCTGCTCAACTATGCGGACGACTTTGTCATCATCATAAAAGGAAGGGATGTGGCACGCCTTTCACCCAAATGCTTAGACTACTTTAGTGAAGAGGCAAAGCAGATTGGTTTCAAACTTAACCCCACCAGAACAAAAGCCATATCCATCAAATATTGATGCCCAACCACCAACTCAAAGTACAGGTTCAACCAATTGAATGCGTGGACACTTAATCTAGGAATAATCTTGGACACACAGATCAATTTTAATGCCGAGGTCACTTACTTGAGAGAGAGAGAACTGCGGCCAATCCTCAGGTCGTTAACCTCCCTCTCTGGAGGAGCCAAGCTGCAAGTCCTTCGCACATACTATGTACAGACAGTCAGCTCAGTGATCGACTATGTCGCACCTGCACTCACACTTCTATCACGACAACAGTGGAAAATGCAAGAAGTAACACAAAACATTGCTACGAGAGCTGCCCTGGTAGCCCATATGTAGACCAGAGTGGAAACGGGTTTGCCCTCTCTTCATGTAAGAATAACTCAAAGAGCAGCTACGATTATCAGAAAGGTAATTGTTTCCCCTGATCCAGTTCCATTACAATAGGCCTTGGTGGTTTGACTTGGTAAAAAAATCGGATACTCTTGGGCTGTCAGAGTGGGAGAAGTCCTAAACAGATTACAATTAAATATCATGATTCTTGATGGAGGGGGGGTGATCATCCACACCCAAACTACACTTGTTCCCCACCATGGGAGGAGCCTTCCTTCAAAATAGTAATAGAAAGTCTTCTGATGAAAAAGGCTGCCTATAATCCAACAATCATAGGACGCATCGTAGAAGAGCAAATGAGCAGCATAGCAGGAGACACCCACATCTTCACAGACGGATCGTTGGACACAGAATATCAGAGTACTGGCGCTGCTCTTTGCACAGACAGCGAACAGGCATGTTGGAGACTGGGAGGATCAGTATCATCAACCCAAACTAAGCTGTTTGCCATACAACAGGCATTCGCCTATATGATTGTACAAAACACTCAAAATGCAATCATACACACAGACTCAAAAGCTGCACTTCATATATTAGGACAAAAGCAGTGCAAAAACAACATGAAAATAATTACCACCATTTTGTATTGTGGAGCAGTCGCTAAATTCAAAGAACTCAACATAACTCTAAACTGGATCCCATCCCATGTTGGATTGCCATAAATGAGAAAGCCGATGAAAGGGCTAAATTGGCAACTCGTCATCCAGTGATGACGAAATGAGACGAGAGATGACGAAAACAATCCAATCCAGCCTAGAGTACATAAAAAACACCTTCACCAAAAAACTCGCACACTTCAACAAAGCCTATCTACACCAGAGAGTGGCAGAATGTTCGCCCTCTACAATATAATATCTTCAGGCCATCAAGTTAGACAGGTAAAATATCCCAAATGTAATCCAAAGGGAAATAGCAATTCGCTTATATAAACGACTACGTCGAGGTTACAGATGCAACTAGGAAATTGGTGAACCCAGGGAATGGGAATAAATTTTCTGCCAAACAATCACAGGAAAACACTACCTCACTATCTCCTGGAATGTGAAGCATCCAGCGAACTTAGAAAAACTTTAGGAGCCCCTGAATCTTGCAGCAATCATCTTGAAGCCATCAACACAGCCACTATTCTATTCTGGTCAAAAAAGGTGTCCAGCAGCTGAACATCCTCATAAATACTATCAAGCAGTATCCTCCCCCGCGGGAGCAACCACATAGTAGGTAAGGATTGACGATTGAAATGCAAGCTCAGCTCACAGTATATCCTTTCACGATCAAAGATTTAATTTTTTATATTATTTTATATATTA